AGGTGACATTTCATGAAGCACAGCAAGTAACCAATTCGTGCTTTTGGAGAAGCCAGCCTGTATGCCCGCCTCATCATGAATAAGCACCTAAGATGATGCTCGTGGACTTGTGTTACATGTGAGTTGGCATCTTACCGCTTTGTAGGACGCACGAAGCTCAGCCGGCCTGCGTAGAGGCTTTAGTATTGAACACGTGCGTACGTACAAACAAAATTATACACGGGATGCGTTACGTTAGTTCGCCGAGTAGAACTAGGGGATCTGAACACAAATCCTGTTTGCGATCATGGGTGCCCTCATGGGCATTGAAATATCCACGTGATGACTTGTGAGGATCTCTGTCATTCGCATCAAACTCCACATTCGTAAGGGTGGTGACCAAATGACGGCTCTCGCTTTGAGCAAGATGAGCCATAGTGTCGTGCTTTGACAGGTGGACGAACGGGGCAAAAAAGTGTCTCAAGAATATGACAATATGATTTTTGTCATGCCGCGACATAGATGATTGTTCAGCTGTGTCAAAAATAAGGTGGAACAGCGCGTGGTGAATAGCATGATGGCCCAATTGAAGTTGCATTTCAAATTGATATTTCATTGACATTGCAGAATCTCCAACTCCAGGTTGCGTTGGGTCATCTGGTGTGCCAAGTGAGTCATGCATGAAATGACGCGGTAATATGATCTTTGGCTCCTTTTGATGAGAAAGATTATCTGCTGCTCGGCGTGAATTCAGGCTGAGTTGCTCCTTCCACCTGTCACTCATATCCCCCTGGAGTTTACGCCATTCTTTTCCTTTTTGTTTGAGGCGCTTTAAGACAATTGAAATCGTTTCTCTGGGGTTCTTATACAGAAGCTCGAGGAGCTCCAGCCCTACAAAAGCAAAGCACTTCCAATCAAACGAAGGTGCGAATATACCTATCCAGGACTCAGCCTCTACCATGTTCGCCATAGACTCGCAAAATTGCATTTAGGTGTGCGGCAGATAATGCCACAGGCTTGACCACATGACCAACTAGCTGAGCACATGCGCTCAAGGGGGCTTCTATTCTGGTCAACCCTGTACTAGTACAAGCACTTGGCGTTTTAGTCGAGTTCAAGGTCCACTTGACCTCGCTGTCGATCAGTTCAAGTGTGGCGATGGCAGCCGCATTTGCATCGATGACCATGTCAAGCTCAAAGCGCTCATCTTCACACTTGAAGAGTTCCTCTTCGTAGCAATTTTTCCTAGCGTGTTTGAACGAGTTTGTCTCTTCCGAGCCAACAGGCTGTGAAACCCAAACGTCGTTGAGCACACGCAGATCAAGGTCTGAGCGCCCACCACATCTTGGGCGGGACATTGATGTTGGTAAGCCGCGATAAGATGGTGTACCACGCTTACAACGAGAAAAATCGATCTCGTGGAGTGGGATGGATGCCCAAAGAAAAGAACCCCTCTCCCGCAAATTAGATTCATGGACGTGCTGGCGACTTTCGCCATTTTCACAGGACAAGGATGAACGACAAGTGCTAGGGCGAATACTCGAGCTATCGTGCATAATGCCCAAGTTTTGAAGCAACTTTTGGAGCGCATCAATAAGGTCATCGGATATTCCACGCGACCGGAACAGTCTTGATGCAATTTCGAGCATCTCTGACTGTTTGAGTAGATCCTGCGAGTGTAGATCTAGACACTTGAGGAACTCACCCCAAAGGTCCTGTTCTCCACAAGTTGTTGTACCCGACGCTATCGCAAATCTAGGAAAAAAGTTGCGTGAAAAGAATACACGAAAGCTTAGTCACACTGCATTTTATACGATTCTTTCACTCGCTCGAAGTACCGTCGTTCCATCGCATATATAGTGCAGTGTGACCTTTAATATGATTGATCATACTCGCGTTGACAAAGACGCCTATCGCACCCAACTTCTGAGGTTACGCGATCATCGACGCCCATAGCTGATGCGGGGGTCCTTTTATCAAGGACTATATTGGCCCGACGTGCGTGCATTTGATCGAACGCATCGCGACTCTTCACTATTGCTCCCGGAGGGCTGTTACTAGCTCGCCGAAGTGCACCCACGGAATCTGGGACCCGCAGAGGGCTACTGGAAGCAGTGAAAGACCGCCGAGTGCGATCTACATTCAAACCTTTGCTCAGTCTCGATGTCCCATTCACGCAGTCAGTATAACGATAGTCACTCGCAGACCCAGGCCCCGCCCGTCTCGCTCGACGCAATTCGGACTCTCTTGCTGCACGCGAAAGACGCTCCTACATGTATTGAGGCTGAAGGGAATCTTTAAATATCACCCCAGTTTTCAACGCACTTTGGCTTGCTCTTGAACTGCATCTGGTAGAAAGTAAGTGAATTCTTTGAGAAGGTCAGGGTGGTCTGCAAATAGCTGAGAGACTTGCTCCAGAACATCCTTAATCGAACGTTGTTCTTTTTGATAAGTATGCAAGATTTCGAGGAAGGCCTTGTATGTCTCTGGCTCGTGCGCGAAACGTTTCTTTATTGTTGTCACCTTCGAAATCAAGTGCATAAGTTGAATGATTATGGCATGAAACCCACGCAGCTCGCAGAACATAAGTTATCGCGTGGTCAAACTCGACCGGAGCGCCCGCCTACATGCTTCGAAAGTTACTTAAATGAGCAATTGAAGATTTCTTGTATGTTCCATGTTGCAAAGTACTTGGCTCAAGAACTAACCATATCAGGTCGTGCTGCCGCCTACAGCGTCGATGTTTGCGAAAGTTAGCCGAGAACTCTGCGATAAGGATGCTACGTACCTCTGTAGGTTTGACTTCATTACCTGTAGGTTTGGCTTCAACTCAAAATATGGAATTTCCCTGAACGCGCACCTCCACTGGCCTGAGATTTCTCATGCTGGTTCCGTATGAGAGGGCCACAGACCTAGTAGAAGATTCAGACGTGACGTATTTGTGGACACGGCATCTACAACAGATGCAGAGACTCCTGAGGGAGTTATCACTGTCATTGTCGCATTATCCCCTTCAAGCGGAAGCTCGATCTTGTAGCCATCGGGAAGAAAGGTGTTAAAACCAAGTATTAGTTTATTGTAGCCATGAAATAGATGCGACACTTGCTGAATTACCCCGGGTGTGTCTATTTCTTGTGCTTTGAAGTTCTTCATGATATCCAGAAATTCGTTGTAGATTTCTGGCTTATCACCAAATGCTATCTTCACCTGATCCAAATACAGCAATGCGTCTTCCACCTAGGCGCAGCCTACAGCGAGTTTCAGAACGCTGACACGACTGACCTTCAACTCGCGCAATACTTTGGCAAGGGTCGGCATTACGCCGTTTTCTCTAGTCAAGTAGACTATACTGGTACTAGTAATTTTATTAGTCAAGTAGTCAGTGACGAGCCTGTGGCGAAGCACGACAAGTCCAGCCAGCTGGACTCCAAAAGCACCAGAGCGACCACGAGGCGGGGTAGGCCGCTCCATTAGGGCCGTAGGGGCTGGGGGGGGCTAAAAGGAACGCAAAATGCAGGGGAACTTGGATGGGACCCGCGGTGTGGTCACGCACTCGGGCCACGGTGCGCAGCGCCCGGCCTCGTTGTCCCGGCGGCGCGGAGTCGGGGTCGTATCTCTCTGTCGACCTCTCCCAGCATCGGGGATCTTATTTCATCCGTGAGATCCCTCGTCGGAACAAAAAAAATGACCCCGTGCCGCGTCCGCGCCGTCCGCGCCGTCCGCGCCGTCCGCGCCGTCCGTTCGATCGACTCCGTCGACGTCCGCCAGTACCTCCCGGCCGTGCCCCACGCGCACGACGACGACGACGTCGCCGGCGACGACGACAGCGACGACGACGACGACCCCCGTGTATACCTCGACGACTACCACGTCCCCGACGGCTTCGAGGCTGTCGAGCTCTCGAGCCCGCCCATGCTCCTCCTCAACGACGTCATCGCCGTGGGCGACATCTACCTCGTGCACTGCTGCGACGATCTCACCTTCATGTTCGGGAAGATCGTCAAGCACAACCCGCGCGCGTCGAAGTACAACTACGACGTGAGTTGGGAGCCCGGCCCCCCAAACAAGCACGGCGTCGCCGTCGGCGACTACTACGCCGACACCGACGCCCCTCCCGTCCCCGGGAACTGGCGCTACCTGCGCAAGATGCGCGCGCGCCGCGGCGGCACGCGCACGCGCGCGCCGCCCTCGGACACCGAGTCCGACGACGGCGCCCCACCCCGCCGTCGCGCGCGCCAGTAAAGAGTAGTAAGCCCACCGGAGCATGCGAGCTGCGTCGCCATGTGCGTGCCGCGGAGGGACCGGCGCGGCGCGCGGTGGCTCGACGCGGAGCCGGGAGACCGTAGAGGGGTCGGAGTACTCCAAAAATACCGGTATATACCGGGTATTTACCATACCGACGGTATATACCGGTATATACCCGTCCCGCATCGCCCATACCGGGTATTTGAGCCGCCATACTGGGCTTAATCCTGGCAGTAAGCAGTTAGTTAACCGGGGTTAAGTGGATCTCCTAAACCTTAGCGGGGGGGGCGACGGCATGGGCGCACGTTTTAGAATATATCATCC